CTACGTAACAATATGACAGACTCCGGTCAACATTCCCAGCACAAGGGTGAAGGGGGTGATAACGACAGCGCGGATTGTGAAGGGTTTTCATAAATGCCGCTCGAATGGGCACACAACACTACATTAGGAATAAGCACGGTAAAAATTGTGACAGGGAAGGCGTGATAGGAGAATATAGGAAGTGTGAATAGGCAAGGGCAGAAAGGGAGATATCATAACTGTTTAGCACACGTTTGGTCAAAGGATTGGCTTCACTTGTCCCTCTGGCAAGTAGTTGTATGGTGCTAAGAATGGCGATACTCACTGACGATTTACTTGTTGCGTTCCTCTAAGTCTTCCTACCAATATGACCATGTTGCAAAAACAGGGTCAAACAACTTCTACACGAGTTTTGTTTATGTTTATCTCTTACTTACGAATAGTCATACTTATGGTAAAGCACCATGAAAAAATTTTAATTGAAAAAGGGCGCCGCGACTAGGAAAAATTTGGGAACCACTGTCATACACGATCTGTTCATTCTATTCCGCCTATTATTAGGTACAGGTTTGGCATGATGTCAACAAAAAAATGTTATTTTAGTTTAAATGAGTTAAGCTTTAAAAGCAATCACCATTTTATAAATGTGAACTTAAAAATGATATTGGTAGGGGTACCTTCATTTCAAATAAAAGTGCATGAAGAAGATATTCGTTGGTCAATCTCACCAGATGAGGACGGATAAAACTCGTTGTACTGCATCCGTTCGGCTTTTATACGATATTCATGTTGACGCAGTCCACGAGAATTCCTTCCTCGTTTCGGGTGAAAACGTGCTGAGCTTTCGTCCATCATATGATGGACATCATCAGAGCTGGGTTTCATTCTGGTAAGAGTCTCACGTTAACACTAAAGCAAGAACACTATTCGGCTCTATCTTACTTCTTATATAGACTCAGTCGAGTCAAAAGATTAAAAATTAAAAGCCTAGATACATCGATATAGAGTGGCTTGGTTAATTTTCTTTCATACTGGTTCTGTTATTTTTGCTCGATTGTATGAGAATGCATATTTGTGTGTGTTAGCGTCTATATGCAATAGGGTTCCTAAACCAGACCTGTCAAAGATTAAATCTCCAGTTTTGATCCTTAAGACCTAATGACCCAAGAGAAAATCTTTGACTTAGGCAGTCTCAGTCAAAGATAGTGTTCTTGCTTTAGTGTAAACGTAAGACTCTTATAAGAATGAAACCCAGCTCTGATGATGTCCATCATATGATGGACGAAGGCTCAGCACGTTTTCATCCTAAACGAGGCAGGAAGTCCCGTGGAGTGCGTCAGCATGAATATCGTATAAAAGCCAAACGGCTGCAGTACAACGAGATTCATCCGTCCTCATCTGGTGGGATCGACTAACGAATCTCTTCTTCATGCACTTTTATTCCAAATGAAGGTCCCCCTAACAAAGTTATCTCAGGAGATTCATCGAAACCAAGTTTGTCTTCCTATCTTAAAAATGATAGTTGTCTTTCCCATAATGTTGTGAGTAGGCCTCATGATGCCAGTGAACTTTTTCTAGTTTTCTTATCTCCAGGCTGGACTACAAGTTCGACGTCGTCCGGGCCTTATCAGCACCTGCAACGAAGTTTGAAGCCGGCTAATGAGTGTATCACAGTCACGAGCGCCAGTAGGACAATTGAAGGGGGACATATGTATTTTCCGTTCCAATTGATTACGCTACTATAAATCGAATGAGTAGTATTTTGCCTTTTACTATTTACATCATCGTAAACAACCTAGGCTCATATTTAATAACCAGTAACGGATAGTTTTGAAGTTTTCTTACCCGAGAGAGTGTATCAGAGTCTTCAAATGCTACTTAAAAGTTGGCCTTAATGACAATCCCACTATAAAAGAGATTTTGGATAAGTCTGGTTTTCCTTGAAATTCACATCGGTCCAGTGTCCTACCAGTACCTTTGGATGCGCATCACCCTCTTCCAAATCAAGTTGGAAGTATTGATGTTACCTAGGCAAGGATAAAACTGCAGTCAAGCCTGGATAAAAAAACTTATTGGAAGGTAAGATTAGGTGGAATTCAATGGAACCGTGAGGCCTGCTTTTAGTATGGTTGACTAAACTATTATATTAGACCTTAAACTACATTAAGTGACTTAGAATGACTAGATTCTAAATGCTATCTTATTAGGGGAATTCAAGGTTGATAGCATTTTATAGTTTATGTGAAGACCAAGATGATGTATCCATTTAAGAGCCCTAGGTCGCTTAAAGTTAATTATGGAATGACTGTTGAATCTTTCCACAATCAGATAAGTAGTCCTTACAATTGCATTAAATTTCATTTAGGTTTGCCTTACAAGAGGGCATCCCATTCTGGCTTGGGTCGGCTGTGGCTATCATCAGCACTACCAGGGGATATAAAGATCAAGATGTTGTGGCCTCTGGTATGGTTACAGTCTCCTTTCGTTTGTCGAGGGATTGACTTTACTTGACTCTTTGAAGAGTTCGTCGCTTGGTGCGGAGAATGATAAAACTGACTGATGATGCCGATTACGATGCCGACGAGACGTTTGAGAAGGTACCAACTGCACTGTCTGATGCTGGGAATTATGACAACTACTACGGCAGACGACTTCGGACTTGGTGCTTTATACTAAGTCGCGTTGACAACAAGACCAAGTTGCGACAACGAGGTCAACCCACTACTACCAGGGAAATTTGATACCAGGTCGTGAGAGTTGTGTCAATGTCAACAGTCCATAGTACAGCCACCGGTACCAATGTGTTACAGGGCAGATGTGACATTCAAGACAAGACAAGTGTCCTACCGGTACCCGTGGATGTGCATAACCCTGTTCGAAATCACGTTGGCAGTATTGATGTTACCTAGGCAAGGATAAAACTCCAAATTCCAATTTATAATA